AATATGATCCCGCGTTCAACGGCAACGACCTAATCAGCCACAAACGCAGTTGTGTAGGGGGTATTTGTGCCTGCGCACTTTATCGTGTGGGGGTTTCTTTGGTATCCTCACCCCAGGGCGGTAAGAGTGTTGAACAGTGTCCTGAGCAATCCTAACACCCCTCTATTGCATTTTCATTTTGCTCTCACCCCCAACAGGTGGTCTGACGGTCTGCCTAAGGAAGGTGTCTCCGGTCTAACAGTCCTCTCAAGAATTGCTATGATGGCACTGATTCGAAACAAGGTGATCCAATTTGAGGACTACAACGCCGTCCCTCGAAAGCACCGAACGGTAAGTAACTATGACAGATCGGACTATTTGACTTGATCCTGGATCCTTCTTGAAAAAAAAGGGAAGCTACGCCACTGTGTTTTCCGATATGCTGGATTCAACAGCTGACCGCGCTGCCAACTGCCTTTGCCTGCGGCCGATATATTTGCAGTTGCAACTACATGTAAACTCGTAAACGCAATTTGATGTGGCCTGCATAAGCAGAATGTCCTTAGTTAGCCTAACTGAGATAACCGTTCTTCTGCTGATGTACAACAATTTAGAGGCGGTTTATGTTCGTTCAGTCGTGCATCGAAGCCTTCACTTGATCACATTGGACCCATTATCACCCTTGAAAGGGAAAAGGACGGTCACCGGCTTTTTGGCACTGATATTTCGGCAGGGCTTTCTTATCTGTGGTGACGATGAATTTCAGCGGATAGCCGTTTTCAAGAAACATTTTCTTGAGGATACTGATCTCTTCATTGATCGTATCTGAAGAGCAGATTCTAGTGGCTCTATTGAACAGCGACAAAACCAAGTTTCGCCTCCTCTGAATTGGAACAAAACTAAGGAAGTGCATGTATTATCCTATCCAGGTGGGTTTGCGATAAAGTGACCGCTGAATGGAACAATCTACCCGCCTACCTATAAGCGAATCTAAGAAAGCCAGTCTGTCATTCGTCTCCTGCTCGATCGTAAATGTGATCTCTGCATGCGCCTCGTTCATAACATTAGATAGTAATTCTCACTCTTTAGGGTTTTCTACTATGACAAATATGTCATCCACATATCGTCTATAGAGAGCAGTTTTTCAATGTTTTGGCTAATTTTCTTTTAAGATTTGACATGAAGATATCCAAACAAGGCAAATATTATGAGATTAGCAGAATTTATTGACGTTACATAATTTAACGACCTTTTATCCAACTGCAAACGGTCGTTGTCTATTAATAAGGTAAATTTCCTGTCCAATTAAGTGTCGCCACATCAAACTGTGTTTACGAGTTCACGTATAGTGGTAGATGCAAATACATCGGGCGCACGCAAAGTCAATTGGCAACGCTTTCAGCTGAACATATGCCGAAGCGGTTGCTCAGGGCGGAAAGTAAAATACCTAAGAGTTCAATCACGAAGCGCTTAACGGACGCTGGCCATACGGTCGACAAAAAGACTGCATTTAAGGTCATACTTCGGGCGGGGAGGCTGCTGCACTACGGAGGAGAAAACCAGAACTCTGCAGGCAGTTGGATCATGTGATCAACCTCGCATTACCGTAGCAACGATCGATAAACTCATTCCCCCTCACGCCTCCTCGCTCCCCTTAGGACTGGCTGCTACCCTGTCCGCTGCCCCCCCCCTTCAACCACGTCCCACCGGCTTTCATGAACTGCCATGCTGTGACATCACAGTAGATTACATGTCTGATGAAAGTTTGGGGATTGGGGGATTTAACAGACATTTGAGGTTGTTTATTTAGTTCATTAGGTTGACTTGAGGTGCAAAATACTGTTTACTAAAATTGAATTCCGTTCAGATCGGTATACAGTAGTCGCTGGTTATTAAGCCCACGGTTAATAG